CCCCCCCCCCTCATTCCCATTGGGTCCCGATCGTGCCAGCATGAGCAGCATTCTCAACTCCATCTCCTCCAACTGGAAATCCCGGCGCCCAACTAAGGCGGTCCGTCCTCTCCTCCTCTCCCCGCCTCTCCTCCCCCCTCCTCTACTGACACGCCGGCTCCCTTTGTTTTTTTCCCCCTTTTCGCACCGAAACCACCGTCAGTCGGCCGCCGAGACGAAGAAGCCCATCGCCAAGGCCAAGCATGCCACCCCGTCGGCCGCCGAGACGAAGAAGCCCATCGCCAAGGCCACCAAGCGGCCCAATGCCCCCAAGCCCAAGCCCAAGGCTCCATCCAAGCGCCCGCTCGCCGTGTCAGATGATGAGGATGCTGACGGTGTGGATACGGTCCTGGTCAAGCGCGCCAAGCTCGACACTGTCTCCACCGATGCCGCCGCCGCCACTCCCGCTGCTACTTCTGGCGACTCAGCCGAGGGAGCCTCCACTGGTGGGTACAAGTGCGTTGTGATGCCCGGGCGCGTGTGTCCATTCCCTCTGCCCCTCCCTGCCCTGCTGTTGACTGACCCCCTCTGCCTCCCCCCCCGTCCCCCTCCTTCCCTCTCCTTCCTCCCACCCCATAGGCTCGCTCTCGGCAGCCTGGCTTTCTCTCGCATTTCCCCGGACGACGCCAACATGATGCAGTACCTACGCACGCGCTACCTCGTGTCTAATCCGCTGGATCTGCGCACCTTCATGGAGCCCAAGGGCAACACCCGGTGCGTGCTCTTCCCCCCTCTCCCTTGTCGATGTGCACCTCTGCCTCCCCCCCCCCCCCCGCACACACACACACACACACACACACGCTGACACCCTACGTTCTCCATTCCATCACCAGACTTGGCAACAAGGTCGGCCTTGATTGTGAGATGGTGGGTGTCGGCCCGGGCGGGCGCGCGTCCGCCCTGGCCCGCGTGGTCGTGGTCAACCTCCACGGGCATGTCGTGCTCGATCTCTTCGTCAAGCCGGAGGAGGAGATTGTCGACTATCGGACGCGCTTTTCCGGCATCCGGCCACAGGATCTCGAGGGGCCACATGTTGTCCCTCTGCACCAGGCCCAGGTGCAGGTTGGAAACTTGCTCACCGGGCGCATTGTCATTGGCCATGATTTGAAGAACGATTTCGCTGCCCTCAACATGCGCCATCCCCGACACCTGATCCGTGACACGGCCCGCTTCCAGCCCCTGCGCGAGGCCATGAAGATGCGCGGCCGCGCGTCCCCCTCCCTGCGTGCCCTGGCTGCCTGCCTGTTGGGCCTGGCCATCCAGGTCGGTGAGCATCATCCCGGCGAGGATGCCCGTGCTGCGGTGGAGGTCTACCGCGCCGTGGCTACCGAGTGGGAGGCCGCCCTGCGGTCCGAAGCGGAGACCAAGCGCCGCGAGGAGGCGGCCGCTGTGGCCGCCGAGCGCCTGAGGCGCAAGAGCCTGGCCGCCGAGCGCAAGTCCGCCGGGGGCGCCGGCACCGAGGAGGACGCCGCCGACGATGGTGACACTGCCACCGACGATGACTTTGACCTGGAGCAATTGGATGTCCCGACCGCGGATGCTGGCGCTGCTGCTGACTCCGCCACCGCCACCGCCCCGATCTCAGGGCAGTCCACCCGCGCGGGCCGGAGGAGTCGCAACACCAAAGAGCCAGCCTGGCGCAAGAGGCAGCCCCACAAGCGCCACTAGCGCCACCGGTGCCAGTGCGACATCGCTCGCTCCTCCGCATTCCTCCCCCCCCCCCCCCCCCCTTCCCCAGTCCTTGTCTGCCTAGATCATTCCCCCCTCCCACCCCCCCCCCCCCGCTTGCTGGAGGGTACGTATCCATTTGTTTCTCCCTTCCAGCGCTTCCGGTGGTCGTCAGAAAATGTACAATATACACACAAAAGCTGCCGCGGACATCTTGTGTCTACCCTCTCCCTCTTCCCGCTCCTCGCACTCTCCCCCGCAGGCCTGTGCTCGAAGGAGCTCCTTCTGGGAGGTCGGCAGAGGGGCCAGGGGACAAAGTGCATGGATCGGCCATGGGGTGGCGGTTCGTGTCTCCCTGTGCCGGCTGTGCCGGCCAGGATGTCGTTTCATGTGCTCGTGTGGCGCCCGACGCCGAAATCAACGCAGGGCGCCGCCGCGCGTCGATCACACGCCCTCCCCCTCCACACATGATGACCGAGCCCACCACCGTCGGCCCGATGGCTATCACCCCAGATGCCAACGCAGCCACTATCAAACGCCTCCCGCTCTGGCGACCGGGGCGCGGAGGCATGGAAGCCGCAGTCATAAGCCAGCCGACGGGATGGCTCGCCTCTTTTGCCGGGCCCCGTGCCGAGCGCAAGTGTTGCGTGTCCCTCTGCAGCCGGGAGATGGGCGTCGTATACACCCAAGTGAGCAGGAGAGCGGCGACGGGGGGGGGGGGGGGGGGG